ATAACCACTAATATAATGATGTTTATATACTACAAACACTTTTTTTAATCACATAATAAGGCAGAATAGTTTCTATACTGTAATAAATGCTATGTCAGTTAGCACTGCATTGTTCATATATTTTATTTATTACCTGAAGATGACTTGACAAACACAAATACACCATATATTGTCGCAATCGTATGTTTAATGTCTTCATGTTTCCAAACGTTTCTGTTTTCTGTGAAAACAACTGTTTTCATACAGCGATAGCTGGACGCTTTTGTCCATATTAGGAATTTCCTGGTACGAATTTCTGCGCAAGCGCACCCGCCGGCTTCGAGTATGAATGAAACATACACTGCATGAGTGTTTAGCGCTCCGCGATGTTCATCTCGCCTTATTCTGGGTCCGAATAAAACATCAGATCATACACAGACTATCCTGTCTCTTTGAATTTAAATCTATACTTATTCACACCGGCTCTTGAAAACCTCTATGCGAACACACTTGCCCAAAAAAGTACGTCCCCCGCGTCCCCCGCGTAATCTACGCCCCTGCATTAACCGACTGTAAGAATTTTGATTGATTAATACAATCAGTTTTAAAACGTTTAAAAAGTCATTTATTTTATCAGTAATTTATCAAAATAGTTTAAAAGGTTTGCTGCATGGTTAAAATACACTACACGTTTAAAAAAGAAAGAAAGAAAAAAACAACAAGTTGAAACCAATGGTGGGTCTCTCGTTCGACACAAAATCAAATGTTTCCATATTCGCTATGTATTTGAATGCCAAATGATTATTTATTATGCACTTCACTCGCGTTCCAATAAAACATGTTTTACATAACATCACGGCGGTACGGTGATAACGCTCAACAGCACAGATTTGACATATTTAAACTGAGCAGTGTGTTTTTTCCATATGTTTGACTGACTGTATTGTATTATGATAATGAACAGGCTGCATTGTCAAGGTAGCAATGCTTAACAGTGACAATGCTTAACGCAATCACTTGAATTTTTTCTTCTAACAGTGGAAGCAACTACTCCTTTTTAGTAATAAAGATAATTGGAATTGTAAATGGATTGCTTTTATTTGTGTACATTCACAATAAAAACAAATGTTTGTGCTTTTGTAAAATAAGCATAAAGAAAAATAGGATGCCGCTTTCTGCCATCTGTTTTCCTTTCGCTTTTCCTTTTAGTTTTTCTTTCGTTTTCTTAATTTATTATTTAAGTAAAAATATATTTCTCGTATAGGCCTATATATATATATATTATTTATACTGCACTTTTCTTACACCCAAAACGCTAACAAATATAGTACAAAATACATCCATTAGAATAAGAAAACACAACAATAAAAGAACAGTAGTAGTAAATAAAATAGGGAGAGTAAATAAACCAAATCAAGAAGACAAAGTTAAGATGAAAACACTATCTTAAAAAGATTCCAAAGTTTTGGGATTGTCTTTCTCCTTCTGTAAGAAAACAATAAATCATAGAAGGTAAAGTTAGAGAAACGAACAGTACAGCTCAAATCAGACACAATCAGCACATTGTCATCTATCAGTGAATTAGATTCTGTTAAAAAGGGTTATTTGCCATTATGATGATTTTGTCTGTGCAGGTAAAATCAAACACAGATCTTAGTGTGATGTGAGTTTTCAGTGCAGTATCTTTTCTCATCTATGGCCAATCCTTCATAGTTGTTTTTCTCCCTGTCTGCTGTGAAAAAAATATATACAAATTTGGAATGTCGCAACTGACCAATCAGAATCAAGCATTCCAGAGAACCAAATAATAATTTTGCATAAAGCACATGATGTTTCCCTCTCACTATAGGATCTGCATGTAATACTCACCATTTCTGGAGCTCCTGCGGCGATAGTAAATCCCACCAGCAGCAGCTACAACAGACACCAGCAGCAGAACAGCAGCACATATTCCTGCTACAGCAGCTGAAGACAGACCTGAATCTGTAATGAGAGAAGAGAGACAGTCATTAGTGCGAGAGAATATGACAGTGTGTTTATATACCATGTTAACTACATATATTCTCTCTATGGACACTTTTGCATATCCAAACATCTTATGCCTCTGTTAAAAAAAATAGGGATTATTCCATAATGGAATAGTTTATGAAAGGTTTAGGAATAGTCTATGAGGTTGGCCTCCAGAAATGTAGTATTTTGTGTTCTAATGAAATTTACGTTTTTGAAAGAACAACAGCAAAATCATTTAAAGTGAAGTATAAAGTCAAGCTCCCCTTAAGAACAATGCATTTATAATATATTGTACTACATTATATGCGATCTATTAAGAGATAAAAAAGGAAAGGTGAAAATATACTCAAGTCAAACTCCCTCTTCTCCATACGGGGCTCTTCATTGGTTTTGACTTGATCAGACAGAGCAGCTGGAATAAAAATAAAGAAATACCAAAGGACACATTGATGTTGAACTGTTGAATAAGCCCTTTTGGCAGTGTCTGTTCATTTGTATAACTACAGGAATCATTTTAAATTTCTCCAATGCCAGATTAATAATATGCTTTACAATTCAAGTTGTGATAGACTTTTCTTCCCTGTGTGTGATTGAAATGAATTAACTGAAGAAGGAAAAAAAGAAAAGAAAGAAATATAGGGTGGGACTTGATTTTGTCCATTTGGGAATTGACTGGATCATTGGATAGATGGGAAAGTTATTCTGATTAAAGATTATGAGGGTACATGAATTTGGGGAAAAGATGTTGTGGAGTGATAAATCAAAAAATCCTGCAATATTTCATGAAAAATAAGAATCATCAATTTTGATTTCACGGTGTCTTCAAAGAAACATGAACCATCAGTGATCAATTATAGTATGTTTGGTCATCATGAAAAGGTTCTTAAAATAAATGCAGGGATAAATGCAGAGCATTAATTCCGAGTATGTGTCACCATACTTGGCCACACGTCACGTCACTTTCAAAAGATCAGTTATTAAATGATAATTTCAATAACATCCATCTATCCAGCCTTTTTCTAATCCACTTGTGTTATGTAGGATCACAGGATTTCAGTAATAACACATATTTAATCAGAAGTGCCATTTTATGCTGATGAACCATTTAATTTACCGTATGCCAATGAATAGGAATTTGGTTTTATATGATCTATTTTTGTATTATAATAGAAAAATCACTGATTCGTGTTCTAATATTGAATTTCTTAGGGTAAATTACATTGAGTAACTCACCAATGACGATCATACTGAACGTTTTTATAGTGTCATCATGACTGATGCTGATTCTTCTGGTGATTTTTCTGCTGTCACACTTGCGATTTCTGTTCAGACTTTGCCTTTTTCCTGAACTCTCGCTTCTGATGATCTCTGCTTCATAACGTCCAGCGTGTTCAGTTGTGATGTCTGTGATGATCAGAGATCCAGTCTTATAGTCCACCTTCAGGCTGTCTCTGAATCTCCCGCCTTCACCATCATATAAACAGCTTGTATTGGGATGTCCGTTGATCAGAGCTATGCGAGTGTCTTCAAAATACCACAGCATCTTGTCATGTTCTTTTTTGTTGATATCAGTGTGTAGAGTGACTGTATCTCCCTCCATCACTGTCACCACATCCTCACCAAACACACCTGGAAACACAAATATATAGTTACTGTTAATAAAAATAACAATTGGTCCCTCTGTAAATTCTCTTCTCAGTCCCTTAAAGTGTAGATACGGCCGGGAAGCAAGAAAACACACATTCAAATGTATTCTCAATACTTCAATTTATTCATAGATACAAAGATATTATATAGGCATATGTCGAGGGGAGTTTCACCCTCTTAACCAATGAGGATATGAATGACATACACATATATGATCTTTGGCCAAGAACATGTGTTTATATAAAATGGCCACATGTACAGAAAAACACGGACATATTAGGAATAGACTTTTAGCGAAGAATGAGGCACTCTCTTCAGAGTTCCTCACGAACTCCTTTACCCTTGTAGTCCTAGCATTCATCTCCTTATTTGGGCATTTAAACCAAGAAAAACTAATGTATACATGTGCGCATGCATACCTCGAATATGAGTAAGAGATATTTAAAACATAATACAAGAGAGAGAGAGAGAAACAGATAGAGGAGGGGGGATTCAGAGAGAGAATGCTGTATAGGGAACGAGTGAGAGAAGGAGAGAAGAAAAGGAGGGGTGAGGCATATCTGGAACAATTTCTTAAAAAGACAGAGAGAGTTTTCTAACAGTTACTCAATAATGTTTACTTAATATATAATTTTTTATTTGAATGAAGTGTTATGAATAAAACAGTTTGTAAGCATGCTTCATCATTAGAAAAAAAAACATGTTAAACATGAGAGTAATAAGCAATCATTTAAGATATTTCTCCTTATATAGAACCTTTTTGGCATTAAGGGTTCTTAAACATTCAGTCAAGAACCCTTGTCCTATGTAGGACACAGAGATGCAGGAGTCCATCCCAGTGTCTGATACACTCTAAATGGATGGCCAGTGTCACGGGTGGCCAGGAACTAAAAAAACACAGCGCTTAACAGGTGTAGGCAAATCAGATACCATAGAAACTAACAAGAGGGGAAACGGGAAACAGACAGGCAACACAGGCATAGGATATAAAAACAAAAACAAAACTGGCTATATAATATACAACCATTGTTGAGTTTTCAATAACGTCATATAGTTAATTATTCATAAAATATTTCTGCTAAAAAATGTTGAGCAGAGTCAGTTTAAACTTCAACGCATCAGAAATGCAGCTTTTATGTTGACGAGTCATTAAAGGGTCATATGATGCAATTTCAATTTTTCCTTTCTCTTTGGAGTGTTACAAGCTCTTGGTGCATAAAGAAGATCTGTAAAGTTGCAAAGACTAAAGTCTCAAATCCAAAGAGATATTCTTTATAAAAGTTAAGACTTGTCCATGCCCTCCTAAATGCCTCGTTTAAACACGCCCCCACATGTCTACATCACTGTGTGGGAAGATTTCCATAACGCCGCCCAAATGTTCACGGAAAAAAAGAAGGCGTAACTTTTATTCTCGCTGTAGTATTGTTGCTGCCACCGGCGCCGCCATGTCGTGGAAACGCTGTGTGTTTCGTTGTGAAAGTGAAACTACTTTGTTTAGTCTTCCAAAAGAGGACACGACTAGAAATCAGTGGTTAAGTTGTATTTAAAACACTGTTCCAGAACAGTTTAACCCAAATATCCAGATGTGTGCAGCGCATTTTGTGGAGGACTGTTTCTTGATCCTGGGAAGGCTGTGCACAAAGGCTGTTTCTATAAAGTGGGGCAATTCCAACTTTGCAAGGACAGTCTGGTGCTTCTGACTCACAGTCTGTAAGTACATTTACATATTTAAAGAATTTGTCGTTTCTCCGATCACAAATGCAGACATGGTTTTATGTTTACGCTGCGATATACGCAACGCGTAAAAAGTAATTATGTGCCCACTGGATGCAACAAATGCCTCGTTTATAATGGGTTTTGTTGGTTTTGTCTTGTCATGCTGGGACTCTGCATCACATGTTAAGTGGCATAACATTTCCGTCACACGCTTGAGGAACTCGGCCAATCACAACGCACTGGATAGCTGGCCAATCACAGCACACCTCGCTTTTCAGAATGATGAGCTTTGTAAAAATCGAGCGTTTCAGAAAAGCGGGGCATAGAGGAGAAACAATAATTGATATCATTATCGTAATAAATACCAGAAATATTGTGATATATTTTAAAGCCCATATCGCCCATCCCTAGTTGCCGCAGGCATCACAATATGGTAAGGGACGTAACATTTCCATCGCACGCTTGAGGAATTCGGCCAATCACAACGCACTGGATAGCTGGCCAATCACAGCACACCTCGCTTTTCAGAATGATGAGCTTTGTAAAAATCGAGCGTTTCAGAAAAGCGGGGCATAGAGGAGAAACAATAAAGTACAGTATGTGGAAAATAATGTGTTTTTTGAACCTTAAACCGCATAAACACATTTCATTACACCAAATACACAACATATGTTCTTTTTAGCAGCATCATATGACCCCTTTAAATTAACAGCAAGCCACTGAACCTTTTTTTCCTGGAGAAATGTGGTATAAAAACGAAAGAACTCTTGGGGTACAAACACAAATACATCGACAAATACAAGCCAAGATCAGATTTTAGGAGTTGATGATGTGAAATTGTCATTTTTCCATCGCTGTAAACCGAAAGAGTTGATGTTACAGATTTAAACGTCTTACCATGAAGGAGCAAAACAGCCAGAGTGAGCAAAAAACAGCATCCCATCATGTCAACAGCTGTGTTTGTTAGAATTAATTCCAATAGTGTTGCTCCGTCGATCATACTTTAGGGTAATAAGATGAATATACATTTGCTATTGTTTTCAGATATTCTGAAATCGAATAAGTATTTTTGAATCTGGTTTGGATTCAGATCTATCATCACAGAATAATTTAAGAACAGATTCAGATTCTCTCAACTTTATACTTTGAGCTTAGCTTATTTCCTGTGTGGTGTTGTTTTGTGTTCTTCACAAATAATTACAACATATAGTAAAGTAAACCAACACAAAGTTATTAACCCTTAATCTGTGACAAACTCTCTGTTCTTCAGGTGTGTTTGGTGATTCAGTGGAGTCAGTGTCAGTGCTGGAGGGGGATTCAGTCACTCTAGACTCTGGTGTTACTGAAATGATGGACAGTGATCTGATTCTGTGGAGGTTTGGATATAATAAGACTTTAATAGCTGAAATCAATGAAATGACAGACAGCATCATTGTATATGATGATGTTCTTGATGAGAGATTCAGAGACAGACTGAAGCTGGACGATCAAACTGGATCTCTGATCATCACAAACACCACAACTGAACACACTGGACTCTATGAACTAAAGACCAACAGTGTGATCAAGAATTTCAGTCTCACTGTCTATGGTGAGTTTCTTACGTTGATAAAGTATACCCTAATTACATTTTAATCATTAAAATTATAAATCTTGAGTGACACATTTATGTTTGACCTTTCAGCCTATTGAATACTTTCAGTTTGAATGATTATTATGAAGTCACCATCTCAAATTAAAGAAAAAAACTGTAATCACAATAGTCTATTGTTTGTGAATAACATCACAAACTCTCCTTCAACACATCAAACACAGTCAAAAACAGCCTTCTTATTTATCAATTATATAATTTGATTTTACTCATGTTTTCAGCTCACCTGCCTGTTCCTGTCATCAGCAGTAACTCTTCGCAATGTTCTTCACATGTGTCAATAGATCAGACTGACAGTTTCACTCACACTAATGATTGTGTCTCTCTATTATTACAGGCTCTCTGTATCTGATAGTGTTGATCTCTGTTGCTGCTGTGGCTGGATCTCTGTTGATTGTGGCTGCATTCGGGATATTTCTCACGTGCAGGAAATGTAGAAAAACTGATCAAAAAGGCAAGTTGTTTGGCTGTTATCTATAAAGTGACATTGGGCAACGCTCTTTACTCATGTAGTTCAGAAAAACAAATTCTGCATTTCTCAAAATGCATTAAAACACACCGGAAATACAGAAACAAGATAATGCAATTCTGCATTAATTTAATGATACAGTAACAAAAAAACATAATCCTACATGTGTAAAGATGCAGCACTCAGCTGGCATTCACATTAAAATGTCTAGAATAGCACTGTTTCACTGGTGGGTGGCATTTTATTTCAGTTTCAACTTATTACATTTCATTATACTACAATAAAATGTAAATTACTTTAGCATATGTCTTGGTATGATTTATAAATTATCTGCAAAGAATGTCTATAAAGTTTATTTTCTGTATGAAATTCAAACTGAGTTCATTTGTTAAAGCCATTAAAACCATGTAATGGAGCATTAAACATGTTCATATCGCACAATTAATTAACCATTAAATGTGTGCATTAATGTTTTAACTTTGACAGCCCTATAATAACAACACGCATGTTGTGAAGAACCAGATCTAGTTAAGATTGAGTTGTTGTTGTTGTTTAATGCATCTATTATTCTTTTTCGAACAGTTGAGACTCCTGAAGAGATCACTTACATTGAGCCAACATTCAACAACAGAAAAGTGCATAAAACAGTCAAATTTATTCCAAAGGTATGCTGTTCATCTCATTTAGCAGTCAGTCTAATTTATGTTTTTTTAAGGCTACTGCCGCAGTCACAAGATGTTGCACCTCTAAATTTTTGCACTGTTTTTATGTCAGAGGTACATACTGTCCTGGGCTGCATTTCCCAAAAGCATTATTAGCCTAAATAGATTTTAAAGACCGTTTACAGTATTTCAGTTCTCAACCTGATCACTGCAAGTAAAAAAAGAAAAAGATAGCCTATCTAAACTCACCCTGAATCTCTAATCTATCATCAGTAAGATTGTATATAGGCTATATATATATATTTATTGTATTTTTTTTTTACAGAATGTTAAAGAGGAAGCTCAAGTAGAGTATGCACCGATCGCCATGAGAAGATCAAATATACCAGACCTGCAAAATCCTGCGACAGCCATTACAACTCCTGCTGACAACAAGTTCTTTCAAACTTGTAGATGAGTTTTGGGATTGTTGACAATCACTACACATGTAGTAGCTACCTAAAGTCCTGTTCACACCGGCAGTGACTAAAACCCCCTTTCCGCTTTCTCCGACAAATGACGGACACTGTATGCTGAATTTCTGGACCTGTTTTGAGCTTTGAAATATTTACAGAGTACTGTGAATTCAGACATACACTGTACAAAATGACCGTGAATTTAACGGTAAAAGACTGTAAAAATGCTACAGTAAAAACCTGTTAAATGATTAACGGTAAATTCCCCTACTATATACGGTGAAAAACTGTATTGGACATTACATGTATTGGACATAAATTTTACGGTAGTATACCGTTTTTGGAAGTGAAAAATACCATATAATTTACAGTTAATAACCGTAAATTGACATTCCCAGAATTCCCTGCATTACATTTCAAATTTGATGTTTTTTTGTTGAAATAACTATGTTTCTTCTTAGTTTTTTCTTAACAGTTTTGTATATTAGGGTTGTGTGTTACACCTAATGTTGTTATATGAATGTTTATTGCATTATTTCAGTTTCATGTGTGTTACCATGATGTGGTGATAGTGTTTGTGTGAATGAAACTGTGCACCTTCTATATATGTTATTATTTAAAAGCTGCTTGTGATGGGCTTTGGTTCATTTTGGACTTTCTCATCACCTCCTGCATTTGGTGGTTATCAGTGTATTACAAAGATACAAAACAGATTTCAGTATTTCAATAGGTTGGTATATTAACATTATATCAGTTAATGAAATTACGGTATTTAACTGTAAATTTTTAGTTAAAACCGTAAAACCTAAAACGTTGCTACCGTATTTTTTACGGTAAAATTCCGGCAACCACAGCTGCCGGTTTTTTTCCCGTAAATTTTACTGACTTTTTTTTTACAGTGTACTTCTTTTGTCACATAGCAGGGAAGTACGCGATTTTGGACGCAGCCATTCAGTTCCACAAATCCATGTTTTTATACCAGTAAAAAGTCTTCTCTTGTAGCCTTACCTTAATGTACTATTGTGTCATGTTTATCAAAATAAAACGTATTATAGACACAATTCATTGGTATTTAATTAGTATAGACTTATACTGAACTCTGTTCAAACAGAGGTTGCATTAAGCAGTAGGAGTACTGAATTAAAAGTGTTTCCGTGGCTACATAAAAAAAACATCTGTGTATCTGACACATATTGCATAATCCACTTCATCTGTGATAAAGTAGCCCACGCAAAAACCACGCTAACGTCACTATGGAAAACAGAAAGCGTTCAACTTCAGGCCTCTGTTTTTAATTCCTCTCCCAATTGCAAGCCGCAAACCTCGCCTTTCGGTTAAATCCTTCTGAAGATGAACACACCTAGAGTTAATTTGGCTAATACAACAAGGAAACACATTATTTAGTAGCAGTCAGCAACTGCTATACAGAGTGGTCAGATGGCCCATAGAGTTCGACTCTCTTTGGAGGCCCCTGGAAGCTCTGGCTCCACTAAAAGCTCAGTTTGTGAGTCAGATTGAAATCTGCTGTGGTTGGATTTATTTACAGCTGTCCAAAAATTATCTTCCAACCTGCTGGGCGTATAAACGGCTTCTTCATGAGAATGTACACTGGTAGATTTTTGTGGTCGATGTCAGTTTGTGAGTGTACGTCTGAGGTGTTAGTTGTGAGTCTGTGTGAATAATGTGTGGGTGAAGGGCTTTTTCCATTTCTGTTCATATGAAGCTTACAGTTTGATGTCTGCCTTCACTAAAAATGCTGAACCCATTAATAAATTCTGACAAATAAAAGATTCTCTTAGACATTGATATCGCTGTGCGAATGGGAAATGTGAAAATATCATGTAGTGTAATGTGAAATATCAAAATCGATACTTACGCATATGCATGTCTCTCCATGCCCTCACAAGTCACACTGTTAAATGCTGAATAAGCGGTGTTAGTTTCACTGGTTGTTTTAGCTCCTGTAAGAGAACTTATTTCTGAGAAGAAGACATGTTCTTGACGTCACACCTTTTTTAGAAAGGTCATATCCTGTTTATTTTTGTCAATGTCAGGGAGTCATTTTAAGAATAAATGCAATCTATGATTTACTGTTGTAATATTTATATGATCATGCGGATGTTTAGAGTTTTTAATATTATTTTGATATTTTGTTCAGTGTTGCTGTCCAAAGGCAAAATGAAGTAACTACACATTTAGTTATGTTTTTGTCTTTGTGGGCTTGTGGTGTGATAATAATGCCACTACGCTCTCTTACCTGGAAAAACACAAGTCTGTTTTAACAAACTCCAAAGGAAAAGAAAAAAGAAAAAAACCTCATGTAAAACCGGAATAGCCGTCAATGTGAAAAAAGTATTACACAATTTAAGAACGAATTTGAATGGGAACTTTAATACTGGTCCAGAAATACAACATTTGTAATATATCCCCAAACAGCTGTCAATATCAAACTAAAATATCTTTGATTTAAAGTGTAGCTCACTGATTGTAAACTACATTGGCACAATCATCAGTGATGAACCAGTCAAAAATAGTTATTTGTCTAAATACAATGCAAATTTTTTTTTTTCAAAATTCACATTTTGTTTTTTTCATCACCATGTCCCTTTAGGGGCTCCGTAGAGCACTAATCCAGATTTGGTAATCTGAAAAAATGTGTGTATCTGGATCATTGTGATCTATTCCAATTTTGCTTTGAAAAACCAGCAGAAAAGTA